ATTCACATTCTATATAAACAACAACATCACAGTCAATGACGGGAAGTGCCAGATTGTTCTATTTTTAACCGACAATTTAAAAAAATGAGGAGGTTCTCAGTGTGTTTTTTTCTTTGTATGTATGTTACGCTATAACTCCGGTATTTGTGAACCGATTTTCATGATTCTTTTTTTGTTGGAAAGAGGGTACCTCCACAGTGGTCCCATTTCTTTTTGAAGAAAATCATCCACCTCTAAGGGTGGCTGTTCACGCATGAAGATTCATTTTTATAAATAGCGCCTACATTTTATTATAAGGAGCAATTATTTTAATGGTTGATTTTGCTATTCTCCAATTCACGGCGCTTTTCTCTCTTAATATACTTTGAGTAGTGAGAACCGATTTTTATTATCTCCTGTGTCAAATCCCGTATAGTGGTGAACTAGGGGATGAATCTGGGTTTGCGCACTTTCCGGTAACCGATTTCAATAGAACTTGGTAATTATATGTAATTCCACGTACTTTTGAGGTCGGTTTTTTAGTACTCTGTACTGAGATTATCATTAAGAAATACATCAAACTGCAATTGAGTTGTAAATTTCTTGAGACTAAAATATAATGGCTGTCGCTGTCCTAGATGAAATATAATTATATTCCACGCAGGAAGACCTAGGCGGTCTTCTCCCATTTCGATGCGAGTTTAGTTCAGATTATTACATTGAGTACGCAATGTGACTGCATCCGCGCAGGCTGTCGCTTTCGAGGGTCGTGCGCGCGACTGTCCCTGGGGCTGGGCGGGCTGTGCGTGTGGGAGGCGTCGGGCTCGCTGGGCCGCGGCGGCGCACGCGCACTCTTCCGCCGCGCGCTGCACGCGCTGCGCGCCTCCGCGGACGACGACCGGAACAACCTCTGGCTGCACTTCGCCGACGACGAGACTATCGTGAGTTAGAATATAATTCATTTGCTACAACGCCACAACACAAAAATATACAGAAAAAAATAAAAAAAGACAAAGTAAAAGAAAAAATAGAATATATAAAAAAACAACGAAGCAAACATAATCCAATTTTAAACAGTCAATTCAATTTGAATAAATGTCATGTGTGCGGCTGTTGTGTATGTGAAAGGATCCACTCGGCTAATGTCACAGCCCAGTAAAGACTGTGACACTATTTTTCAGTGGATAAGATCTTTACTTTATAAATTAATTGCTTTGGATCAAATCATGATTGGAAAAATTTTATTAATAAAGATTCAAATTCGCGAAAATACAATTTTAGTGACAGCTGACACATTGATAAAGAAACTGTGATTTCGGATATAAATCGCGTATATTTGTTTTTTCTATTAACTCATTTCGGACTCTTTATACTTCCCGTGGTCACGTCTGACTGACAGACTGAACAACTAGTTTCACTTTCAAAAACGTTTCAGAAGCCCTTATACTACTTTGTATGTTTTAACAATAAACAATTTGACAGGAACTCGATATGGAGGGCAGTCCAAAACCAGCGGTATTCATTCTCCACAATCTACTTTCGGCTCGAGTGCACTCTCTACCAGGGGAAGCCGGACCCAACCCCCTATAACCCGAAAACCTCGCGAACCCCTTAGAAGGGGCGAATCGCTTACCCAACGGGCATTTGTAGAAGGTTATACCAGGACATTATAATCGTGCATTTATAAAGGTGTAACAAAAAGTGTATTTTTCAGCTGCTGACCGTACTCATGAAAACAAAAACAAAATCAGTAGATATGTGGTCGAAAGAAACTTTTCGTAATAAAAATGTTTTGTCAGATTTTTGTTGTCACAAGTACGACCGGCAGCTGAAATAGGGTTGTACCTCTTTTGTTACACTGTATATACAGCGATACATAAGTGTTGTAGTGTTTTACAAGGTTCGTCTTGGACGAATCAGTGTTATTCGTATATTTATTCAAAATTCGATCGTGATAACTCCTAAGTTTGCAATTTATGTATAATTGTAAGAATCTTTTCTAAAGTAAGGATTGGAATAGATGATGTCACCACATACAAAAGGGCAGCTTATAAGGCGCCGCGCAAACGTGTGTCTTGAGTTGGATACAAGCAACCGGCAACTAGAAGCAAATATTCTATTTTCATACAATTGATATGAAATGAAGTCGACACAGTCGCCGGTTGCGGTAGTCGAACACTGTTGCCGCAACCGCAATTTGTAAGAAAATGGAAAATTAGCTTCTGGACGCCGGTTCCTTGTATCTAACACAAGACGCACGTTAGCGCGGCGCCTGAACTACATAACATATTGCCATTATATTAATTGTGTTTGGAATTGAACTGTCTATTGATTTTTATTGCCATGAAGTTTTACTACAGTGTTATTAATTTATTTTTTGTGAAATTACTCCACTACTGTATTATAATTATTAATACAAAGATCGAAGACGAAGAAAAATTTCTTCGACAGGTCTCAAAGCAGGACTAAACGAATAGAGTGTGTTGATTTGCATTCTCGCCATATTTAAGAAATTAATAATATAAATAATACTAAATCATCTAAAAATATAAATAATAATATTCTGACTAATTTTATCTAGTAAAGTTTAAATTTTATCTTGCAAAATTGTCTTTAAAACGTGTGCATCGCGCGAGGGCAGTGACCCCGACGGGGCCCGACCGCTCGAACTATACGTAATCTTTCTCGATTGCTTAATTACCTATTTTTTATCATTATGTTTAGGTATTGTTATAATTTATTAATTATTTACTTGTGGTACTTACTAATTTTAGGTTAAAACCTTCAAGTGTTCACCGTCACTGGCTATGCAAAAATTCGCATGTTGTCGAGAGTTCCATTTCAACTTTCTGGAGACTAGTTTGAAAGCTGACTTGGTTGACTTCACAAGTTTAAAGCGGAGACGGTTTTTGCACGAAATTGTTCAACACTAATAATCTAATTTTCTCCATGTAAACTTTATTTATTTATTTATTTGTTTATTTATTCAAAACTTAATCTATTTTTACAGGTATGTACCCAATACAATAGACTAGCAATATTAATTTTATTACTAAATAATACTAAGTAACAATATCATTACTTAATACTATAATATAAACTATATAATAAATAATTACCCGTAACATAAAATATACAATGCTATCTTTGTGAACTCACTGTGAGAACAAGGGAACAGATCGATCTTGACCGATATTTTGTTTAGGGTGCACAAAGTACGAGTCAGCGGACACTCATTCATGAGGTTGGTCCTCCCACGTGGCACAGCCAGCAACGGTGGCTGGTGACGTCGTTCCACGTAATTATTAGGAACACATAATCCTAACACTCCTAATAATCTCGGATTATGTAGCATACCTCTGAATACTTTCAGTACGTACACTGCCAACGCCAAGTCCCTGCATGCAGCTTATTGTATCCTACCATTCCCAGAATAAACAAAGTGGGATACTTCAGGGGATAGTAGGGGCAAACACCATATTGCCTCAAGTACAGGTATCTTATAAATTTGTTTTGAATGCGCTCCAGCATAAGGCTGTATTGGACTTGATGCGGAGCCCACACTACTGCATTACACTCGAGGAGGCTTCTTACAAGTGCGTTATACAGCACAACGATAGCTTTAATGCTCGTAAACCCGTGAACCCTACGTAGAACTAGCCCTAGATTTCTGTAAGCTTTTCTACATACAATAGAAATATGCTCCCGAAACGTTAACTCTGCGGTAAGTAATACTCCTAAATCTTTAACCTCCGTCACTCTTTTCATAAGTACCGTGTCTACATTATATTCATAGAGAATGGGATTACGAACTCTAGTAAATGAAATCGAAACGCATTTGGAGATGTTAAACTGAAGCTTATTTACCTTACTCCATGCCACCACTCTGTCTATATCGTTTTGGAGATGCACACAGTCGCTCTTTTCTTTGACTGACCTAAACAGTTTGAGGTCGTCCGCGAACAGTAAACAGCTAGACCCATTAATTATCTTTGGTAAATCATTAATCATTATAATGAACTAAACTCTGCTGTTAAATTTTTTTTTTAAAACACAACAAACCATGCGTGGATTTCACGATCGGCTAGATAGAATTACTCAATTATTGACTGCAGCGATCTTATGCGGCTATCCCAGTGCGTGAAAGAGCGCACTGATTAATTTGCGTTTGAGAAAGAGATAACAACACTGGCTTCTCTTTTTTCAAAAAGTTAATGACCTGTGGATCAGGTGTTTTATGATGTTTTTGATGTTTACCGCAATTAAATAAAAAGTAAGATTTTTTTTAGTGATTGGGGTTCAGTTTCGGATAGAGAATTGCCTATGTAAATATGGCGAGAATGCAAATTGTATGAATATGACCATGTGTTTGTATGTGTATGCCAAACTAGGACCACCGTTATACTGAGGTACAGATGATAAATTTGTCTTAAGTGTTTATTACAGATCTTTTTTGAGTTTTTTTCGGCTTTTATCGCCGTTAGCAACACCTGTGAGAGATTTATCACCTGTGTGGCGCTAGTTTGGCGTACAGATGCAGGTTTGAGTCCTGCCAGGTCGCAATTTTTCAGTGTTCTGTGTCTATTTAAAACGGAATGACGTCAACTAAAGTACAGATCAACCTACGTAACTGTGTGTTTAACGTTCTTCTTTTTACGATAAAAATGACGAGCTCAGCAAGTTTTTCACATATAAAAAACGAATTTAGCTTATTTTAGGTAAATAAAGGGTATTGCCATAAGTTGGTCGATCTGTACATATAATAACAATATAAAAATGTAATTTAACAAGGTGTTTACGCTCAAATGAACTGTTACTCTAGAACCAGACAGTGAAAACTAATCAGAAATACACTTTCATACACTTTTTGTTAGTTATTTTACCTTTGACATAACGTAAAAGAAACGGAATAGGTTCATCTCTATGTCGATAGAATTTCATATTTGTGGTGACACATAAAGGCTTTGATCGCTTTCTCGATATCGACGTGTCTGTGATGGAACGCAATGTATCATGTATCTCTTCATATCGATAAAACAGTATCGATATTTTAATCTAAGTGACGTAGTGAATTTGTAGGCGTTGTTACGCACTTTTTTAACTTTTAAAAAGACAAAACTATATAATCGTAATTATATTATGTGTTACCTTTGACAAGTTAGCAGGGAATGTTCATTCCAGTTGGAGGTGAAGGTTAGCCCTATGGCTCAACTCACAATGGCGCAGAGTCGAAGCGTCGCGACGCCTTATGTTGTTCGCCTGTAGCTAATTCATCTCTATTTTCCCATGATTAAGGTACAAATATGTGTTATGGAAACACGGGATCGCGAGTCGATGCGCGCCTTCGCCGCGTTCGCCTTTTTGTAGTTGAAAACGGCGCGACGCGACGCTTCGACTTTGCGCAAGTGTGAGTTGAGCCTAAGACTTGTTTAGTTACCTCTATTAGCTCATATTCATTTCCTACTCAACGGCCCAGGCGTCAGTGTTAACTTGTCAAGTAAATTACATTCCAAAACAAACTGTAGTAATTTTTTGGTGAATAATGTAAGATTTTGGTGAGATTATCCGCGGTTTATCTTACTTAGAAATGATGAATTAAGAATTTATTTGTATGGAGGCTAAGAGGAGCCTAAGGCTTAACATTCGCCCTTGCGTTGTAGTTAAAATAATGTAATATTATTTGGTATAATATTCTCGTATTTTGTTAGACTTACAAATCGTAATCTATTCGTAATTGGCATAATCGTGGCATAATTGTAATCATTTGTCTATCTCAATGGATATAAAGAAATTAATTAAATTATTCATCATGTGTATGATGCTTAGTAACTTTATTCTTTAGAAAAATTATGAACCCTGCCTTTGTTTTTTTAATCAATATTTTTGCCTCTCACAACCGAAAAATACATTGGTAATTAAAAAATGAATACTATTTACTGAAGGAGAAAATTTGAAAAATATTCAGTAAAAAAAATAAACAAGGGTTGTTTGGGAATTATTACCAATAATTTCAATCTTTATTTTTTAGGATTAACCCACATTTCCGAAAAAAATTACATCACACTTCCAAAGATTCTATTGTTTTTTTTAAATATAGCTGCATTCCACAATTGTTGTTTATGATGTCACTCATGTATATAGAGTAGATATTTTGTATCATTCCCGTAGAGTAGTAGTTAAAAGTTTGCTTTAATAAATGTATGTAGCAATATTTATAAGCTAGTTTAAGATTTGAATAATGTTAGTGAAAACTGTATGTTTCTTGAGGGTGTAACTCTGAAAGTCCATTACATACTATGATTTGGACGTAACTCTAAAATATAGACTTTACTAGCTTTTGTTATTGATTGTCTCAGTTGATTGAGCCTGCCTATCTTATCCGTCTAACGTAAATTCATACCTATTCGAAACCACTCTGAATTTGAGAGCTCGAAACCCAGAGTAGACTTCACATTTGATTCTGAATTTCTCGTGTAACATGGTTCAAAGTCGATACAACCTCAAATGGCGTTGATTGATTCCACATAACAGTGACAGTGTTGAATCACTTTGGAAAAAATATATAGTAAGATTCATTGACTTACAATTATATGGACGTCGGGTCCGCGCTAAAAAGTGTCCGCACTTGTAAGGCGCTAAAATCGTATACAGAGCGCGACACTCCGCTTTAGTCTTCATTTGTTCTACGGACAGCGCGATACTGCGATGACATAACAATTTAAATTTCGAATAGGTTGACTTGGGACATTTTTCTCGTGGTTTTTGTATTAGACCCGTCGTCCATTTATTTGTAAGTCAATGGTAAGATTGATAAAAATTTTCACGGGAGAATAAAAAAAACATTCTTACCTCGAAATTTTACAAGAAAACCGCTGTATTCAATAGGTACTTAACGAATACTAACTACTTTTTTTTTATATCGTCTGTAAAAAAAACTGAAACAAAGCCAGTGGGGGACACTCGACACACGCAAAATTAACCGTATTAGTTCGGGAAAAAATTTAAATCAAGCTTAGGTACCATCGAGTCTTAAGCCTCAATGCGTTAGGGAGGGTAAAGCGGCCAAGTATATATTTTGTTACTGTTTTCATTGATGCGACTAAGGCTAGTTGTCTACGCGATATGCATTTGTTTTCTAAAGGATATTTAGGTGTAGGCCGCTGATGGCATAAACTGGAATAAAGACGTACTTATTACGGAACACCTAGTTGGGTTCGGACCTCGTGTCTTGATGCAACTGGACACTGCCACGTCCTGTTGGAAATAACTTGCGCGAGCACACAAGGAACTGTGGGTAAACTTGATCGAGAGCAAAAGTACTGAAGTACTAGCCTCTAGCCGATCCTCTCGCCGACCCTTTGATTTTGAGAGCCGTCTTACGTATTCAACAGATAAGTGTAAAAGAATTTCAGCTTTACGGTTGAAATTTGTATTCTGTACGTAAGTATACGTCGCGTAAACTTAATAGTTCCC